CATACCTACAGCCTGTTACACGCTTGCAGTTGTTTTCGATACCTCCCGTTTATGTTCCGGGCTCGATCTATGGTGCCACAGCAGGCGGCAGCCTCGGCAGCGAAGGATCGCAGAACACAGACTGCGACGCCATCGCTGACGAGGGATGGCCGGAACTGCAAGGTGCAGAGCTCTCGAAATGCTCGACATTGGAGGGAGCACTAGACCAGAAGCATATAGCCCAGGTGCGAGTGTTCACTAACCTGTTTGCACGGTTGAGTACTAAACGCGCGGACAGGCCTATCGTACACCTCAAACCGTCCATATGAACCTCACACCAGCACCGATGACTTACCCTGCCTGCCCCGAGGCAGCCACATCGTCGGTACCCAAGTTGACCATGTACTCGACGTTGGCCGGTGCCCTCGGTGAAGAGTGGGAAGCGCAGGTAAGACATACCCACTTACCTGCTTGAAGTGAACAAATACTAAAGGCTTTCAGAGGACGCAGCACGCATCCCAGTCCATCGACATGTACGACACCCTTATATTGACGACTTCCTCCACATATGCCGAGGCCCTCGCACCATCAGTGTCTCACCCTCAGATGTCAACGTACGACGTCCGGATAACTGCAACCTGTCAAGAGGCATCAGAATCCGTCGAGGCATATGCTACCCCTGCACCGACGACGTACGTAAGCTACAGCAACGACAATGTACGTTCACCTTCATCCGCGCCTCGGCTCTCGGGATATATATCGCCAACGGGCGGGATCCATTGTGAGCTATTAGATGCGTCTGGAGAGACGGATGAGAGTACACCATCAGTATCGTCTACTCCACAGAACATACCTTCGGAAGGGTGCGGGGATGGAGGAAACGCCGAGTTACTCGCCTATTCGTATCTAGAGAGGTCAGATCAAGGCGGCAATCAGGTACAAGCTCTCGCCTGCACAATATACCATAATTTGCGACCATCGGAACTGACTACGGATCCTTCTAGCCCTACGAGAGCCCCGACAGATATATGTTTGGCGAAGGGGCAACGGGCGAGGACGACGGGATCATGTCAGCATACTCGGGGAACGGAGAGGCACGGAATGAAGTGAGTATGGTGCGAGGTCACCTTCATACATTCAAACCCTCTGTACTTATCAGCCTGCCCAGCTCCATGGGGAGCAGACAGGACCGCTAAACAATCATGCACAAGCTTTGGAGGACTTGTGCTTTATACCCATTCGAACGTGGCGCGGAAAACTTGCTACGTCGCTTGGGCAGCCTTCACGAGAGACGCCCGAGGTACGAGTTGATTTATGTGTGTCCTACCCCGAGGTACTGACTCGCGCGTCTTACCAGCTGTATACGTCGGCGATAGAATCTGGCCAAGTGGGGTCCACACAGGGGGCAGGGTGCATGCGCGATACGCATGACTACCATATCAAACTCTCGGAGCTATCACAGCCATTGACACCTGAACTGAGTCAATGGTCGGCTCCGGAGAATCCAACTATTATACCCACTGAATATTCAGAACAACAAGTGACTGAGCCACAAGCGGGCACCTCAGCTCATGGCCAACAGTACGTATTTCTCTCATACCAGCCGCCACAGTCGATGGCAGAGAGGGCGGTGTGGGCTGGGGAGACCCCAGCGCCGAAACAAAGCAACAATCCCGAAGGGTACACCCAAGGACCGGCGGGTAGACCATCGAAAGAGGTATCGGTGGTGGAGAGGTGACGAAGGGAGATAGACATGGTGTAGAACGGAGGGATAGGATGATGTCCGTGCCAGCAACAGTTTTAGTGCGACTTACGAGGTTGAAATAGTTCGAGGCATCCGACGATGGACATGCAATTCTACGCTCTGGCCGTCACTAGGGTTACCGTTGGAGAAAGACATCAAGAGTACGTCAATCAGACGGGACTCACAAGTCTCACAAATCATTAATCCCAATGGTATTCGTCATGGGCTCGCGCAACCACGAACACGAAACCAGACCAGAGTGCTCAATCACACGTTCCTAACTCTTCGACGCAGGCAGTTCGGGGAGATGACTGAGATCGCTAGGTGTAGTAGGTTTTATGGGATCCATTGCTCATTAGATAGGCCCTACGAACGACAGAACAGGAGACAAAGAACGTTCTGTCGACGAGTTTCTGACCGATGAACGAAAGATTGGAGAACAGACCCCAGATAGCCCGCCTGATTGGTTTATCTATATATAGGTCTTTACATGCCATGTACGGTAAGCTCGTGAGGCAGTTCGTGCAATGCATCGCAGGTAGGTTTTTCATTGCGAAATAGGGATTATCTCCCATATTACCGAACACTAATAGTAAAACATAGGTTCACTGGGGAGGGCACTCACGCGAGGGGGCTAATTCCTGAAGGGGTGCAGGGATTCGGTGCCACACAGCATGACCTCTCGTGGTGATATGGTTTTCCAAGGGCAAACAGCTTGTTGCAATGCCTTCAGCGGTAGATGTTCTCCCATTTATAAGAACCATTTTATTTGCTGTGTAGCGAAAGTCACATGCAGCCGTACTCATCACCCTGAGGTGAATAGGTTCTTATCCGTTAGCACGCTGCTTCAAACCAGTTATTACTCACACGGGGACTACCATTGAGTAGTTATGTTATTGATATACAAGATAAAAGGAAAAGTTATATTGTACGCTGTCATTATGTGGGCGTTGATCTGAGATTTCCGATTATTTCGTCCAAGTCGTGACCCTGCGAAAGTCCTCTCCTCGGCATCTTCCTTGCTTTCAACTACCACTTCCTTTGTCGCCATCCACTGCAAGCTTCCCAGTTAACGTCTCCAGCAACCACTATGTTGGCCTTACGCCGACCGTGTAATTATGATTCTTTGCCGTACTCCGCCACGCTACACGGTGACCACTGTGTCGATGGTTCTTGGACTTACTCTCAAGATATGGGATATAATACGATGGGAGTTGTAAGTAAACCGTGATGCTCTTGACATCCTTCCCTCTTAAGTTCCTTCATCTCTCAGCCACTACAAACTCATATCCATGCCACCCACAAGCACCAGGAGCCCGTAGATAGCACGTGTGGCTCGAGTGCCTATCAGGACGCGGTACGAATTTATATATTACAGACATGCTACCCTGCGCGCCAGTATCTACGCAAAACGACTGACTCGATATCTCAGTACACCACGCACCCCGAGGCATCCGGCACGTCTATTTTCGCCGGGCCTTCAACTGGTGCCACATCCAACCATGACTTCGAGGGCGGAGACTGGGACGCCCTCGCCTGCCACCAAGGATGGCCGACACTGCAGGGTGCAAAGATATCTGAGGACTCTACATTGGCCGATGCATTAGTAGAACGGGCTGTGGGCAAGGTACGAGGGTTTACTCACTTGGTGGCAGGGATGTGTACTCAATGCTTGCTCAGACGGATGAGCAACAACAACCTCTATATATATACGTGGAGCGCTGGCCTACCGCTCTCGCCTCCAGTGGTGTTACGGCTGCACCCTACTCAACATTGACCGGTGCGCTGGGTGAGAGGGAAGAAGCGAAGGTATGAGTACACACCTATTCAGGTACAATGTATCAATATTGAAGCTCGGATAGATATCTGAGGAGCCATGCCCATCCACTGCTATATCTACCACCCCCACATTGCCGACTTCCCCTGCGTCCGGTGACCGCACCACCTCACTCCTATCGACACATCAAACATCGATGTACGACCTGCCAATATCATCCACCTGTCATGGAGCCTTGGAAGCGGTCCAGGTGTATGCCATCCCCGAGTCGACGTACGCCAGCTACTGCGACCTGGCTGGGTTACCATTATCGTCAACAGCTCAGCCAACGGGATATGGTCAGCCACAGGACGGGATCCACACCGGGGCACTAGCATCAATTGAGGCGTATGACACTCCCATATTAATGGTGACGCCTAGCGAAGACGGCGGGAGTATATCGCCAATGTTCTCTGCTTCACAGATCACGCCTATGGAAGGGTGGGGAGAGGTACAAACCGGAGAGTCGCTAGCTTATCCATACGTGGAGATTGATAATCAGGTACGAGCTCTCACTTACAATCTACCTTCAGGACTGAGCCTCGCGTCGTCCTAGTTCCTGGCAAACCTGGGAAGCTTCGTACGCAGAAAAGAGACAGCCGACGCGGATCCTTACCATATCGATTTGCGGGATAAGCAAGACCTCAACGACGTCGTGTTCACAGATACGGGCCTCGGAGGCACGTGGAATAATGGAGTGGATCAGGTGCGAGCGCGCCTACATAATCTTCTAACCTTGGATATTCATTCTCGGTCCTCTAGCTCTACGTACCGGAGGCAGAACAAGCCCAGGAGGATTCGTCATATATCCCTACCAGAAAATGGCCAGCTCATCTCACTAACTCGCTTCAACAGCCTTTACACGAGGCGGAGGAGGTACGAGCTGACTTACGTGCGTTGTCCCCGAGGTACTGACTATCGTGCCCCGCCAGTATGCGGCGGTGACCAATCAAAGGCCAGTATGGCCGGCACAGGGGATAGGGTCTTTTGGCGATACCCATGAACCCTATAGCCAATTTCCGGAGTTCCAGGCATCGACACCTGGAATGAGTCAATCGACGGCTCCCGGGAACCAGATTAATCAACTCACCGAACATTCGGAACAGCCAGCGGGGAGCACCTCAGCTCTCCCGCAGTCAGTTGCTGCACCATCGTCATGGGGTAAATCCACTTCCCGTGGCCGACAGTGCATCTTTCGCTTTTATCGTCCGCCGCAGTCGACGGCAGAGAGGCCAGAGTCGCTTGTGCCGGTCCGAGCCCCAACACCGAAACAACGGAAACGACCGCGAAAGATTGAAGGAATCATCTCGATTGGTGTCAGAGACAAGTCCATTCGACACCGTTGTGTATTTAAAGGCGTGTCCGTCGATGTGCTCGATGGAGACAGCATGGAGGGGTGGGGACGTCGAAACGACATAATGTTGCAGAGATACGAAGGCGAATACCAGCCTTGTGTCCTCGAATTCAAAGTACGGCTCGTCCTCTCGCGATAGAAATAGTTGCTTACCGATCCTTAGTACCGACAACACGGACAGGCCATACGCGTCAATCTAAATGAAACCAACGATACGATCAGAGTCCGGGACTTGGCGCGGATGATTGCTCGACATTTTGGGCGTTGGTGTAGGGAAAGCGATGTAAGCTATATCGTATATTTCTGGACCGGTCGGCTTGCTCACCTAGTGACAGGCCCAGAGGCGAGCTGTATGCCAGCAACTAGGGCATCCATCCGACCAGTCTGGAGTGTGCGAGTGCGGCCGTGAACCGACGCCGATGGAGAACATTATCTTGACGAGCATAGAGCAAAGGGGGAACCACTTTACGGGAGTATTCGTGGACCGGTGAGGAGAGAAGAATGTTTCATCGTCGACGGGGAGATCGGCCGTTGAGAGAGGCATCGGGGGTGGCGAGAGGTCAATGGATACGGCGCGGACTCTGAGCATAATAGTATTCGTATCCGCCACAACTTTAGGGTGGCTTACGACCGTCCAATTTGAGGGTTCTGACTGCAATGGAAATATCGTTATGTGACTTCGCCGTCGTGTTCGATACCCATGAGAGCATCAGCCTGTCATATACAATAGAGGTACAAACCTCACAATTAATGCATCCAAAGATCTCGAATCGCGCTCCTGTCGCAACGAGTAAGATGAGACCGGAGACAACTGGTGTCGGCAAGCACCTGAGCCGTCTGAGGGATGACAGGAGGCAGGACGTAGGATCGGTTTTTATGACTCTGTTCCCCATCTGATAAGGCACGCCGCACGGTGCATCCGGAGAGAAAGACCGTTCGGTCGGCGATATTCTGACCGTTGAGAACGAATTCAAAAGATGAAGGTAAAGACCCCTGACATCCCGACTAATCGATGTCTCGGTTTACCGCGGAAAAGAAATTGGCCTAGTGTAAGCTTATATAGCCCTCAACCATGCACGGTCGACCGGCAAAATACAAGTACTAGTCATAGATGCGCCACCCATATAACTCGCAAGAGCTGGTCATCACCGTCATCCAATGTCTCCCGCTCGACCGTTCTCACAAGACCCACAAACATGGATCGACCAATGTAGAGCCACGTGAACGCCACAATGAGCATGACAACTCCGATGGCGAGGACAGCGTAGTTCATGTCTATCGAGTCCACGGGATACGAGGTAGGCAGAATGATGAGGACAAAATTGAATACATATAGCTTAGAAAAGGGGACTGGGTATGGAATGGCCAGGACTGGACGAGAGGGCCGAATGAAAGGGCACTGGGATTAGTATGCTGCGAGTCACGGCCACGGGAGAACGACCCTGGCTCGGAAAACCTGAATAAGAGGTTGCGTCGACATTCTGCCACGTTGCTGAAAGTGGTACAGACTCACGACTCGGGCCCGAAGCAGCGAACAGCGATCGGTTGGAGATAGCTTGAGTTGACTGCTACAGACACAGACGATGGACTATCGTCGAATCACGAGGATGTCAATGTCGCGATGCAGACCTGGTCAGCAACGTCACTTACCGCAATGGCGGAGCCAATATACGCGCATGAGATGATGCACCCCACGAGCACCGACACCCACATGCCAGTGCCAAAATAAGGTGCCTGATTCTCATCCAAAGCCCTAAGCCACTCGCACATAAGCATTTCATTATCCTCCGCAAGCGCATAGCACAAGCGCGAGCTCGCCATGAACGCTGTCGCCGCCGTCATAAACTGCGCCGCACATATCTACACCAGGCACATTAATGTCAGCCTCTTCCCTACTGTGTCATATGGGGATCGGGTATGACGTGCGCTGGATGGAGGCAAGGGACTGCGCGGAGGAGAGAAGCGCGAGCATGAAGGCGAGGCCGATACGCCTGGAGCCCGCGACGCTCCTTTCTCGCCACACGTAAGGTGACGAGAGACCAGCAATGGCATGCGATTCGCGAGTAACCGTGACACAGGAATGAAATCAGCCATCACTCTCTCATTCCGTCTGCGGACTATGTGTTGACGCATGTAAGTAGTTCCGGACGCATCCACGACGCGGAAATATACTTGTCCATACCTCATTGGTGACCAGCGTCGCCCCTCTCGCGCACCAGCTCCCCGAAGTCGACGTTCAAAAGGTCAGTTCATAGCGGAGATCGCGATCCCCGCGATGACCACAGGGAAACACGGCCGCCCGAGATATCCGAGACGCCGCCCCGCACCCTCGCCTCGAGATTCAAAGCATCAGAAAATACGCGTTAGCCGACCCGCGAGGCGCATCAGATTGACTCGCGCACTGATATTGATACCCTTCAGCAACGTGTTAGCGCAACAATTAGCGCGGACGTTGTGGGTCCTCGATTATCCTTTAAGCGAGAGGGTGCGTACGATTAACCTTGCCTCGTGTTACTGAGACATTCGTGATATGGTCTGCTAGTATCGTCCATATGACCGCTGCGATCGAACATCGACGCTAGAGCCGCTAGACGCAGCCCTGAGATGCAAAACCAGAAACAAGTATGCTATGCATGCATGTCGATCGGTGGAGCTTTTCTGTATGTTTCGAGTTTCCAACTTTACCTGACGATGCCGGCGTTTCAAGGACATGACGCCATGGAACACCGGGAAAAGCAGGAGTAGGGCTTGACGTGGAGGCCGTAATGAACGTCCAGGCCGCGGAGATGAAGGTGTGGGCACTAGCGAATTTTCGGTCATCTGCTGCCGGCGGAGTGCTCGGTGAGGGGCCGTACTGGAACAAGGGCGGACAGATGAGTTGTGCGGCTGCTGAGTTGAATATCTGGCCCACTGTGGTCGGATGCAAGAGAACGTCGCCTTTGAAAGAGTCAGGTGATTTCTAACCGATTCCCAGTTTCTGCCGTGTCAGCGAAACCAAAAACATATTTGCTCTGCAACGCTCGATAGGCCTCGGCATTCGTACTAGCAACCGTTTAACTTCCCCGCTGCGCTATACGTTCAACGTCATCGATCCCTATCTCATCTCCGAGGTCTGAAGGATTTGACGAGTCTCGGAAGGGTTTTCCAATAACGAGGCGGTGGAGAACAGCCATGCAGGCGCTGCGAGCCAAGTCAGAACGGACAACCTCCAGGCTTGGAAGACAACGCGAAACGCTCAGTGCAGGGGGAAGTTTCGCGGTCACCCGTACCGAGGCCGAGGTCCTTCCTTCGTTTCAGAGCAAGATCATCTATAGCAAAAGGCATTCTGGCGTTTATCGATACGCGAGGAGGCAAGCAGTCGGAGAGTCGCCCAGCCAGAACAAGGCAGCATAGATGAGTCATGTTGTGCGCAACAGTATATTTCGGGATGTTCGTATATGACGCACTGCGTTAGAGGCTAAGTAAGGCCGTTGCGGGGATGCATGGTAATTTTCGACAAGCTTTGAAGCACCGGAGATGAAGCGACGATAGACGGCGCGGAACAGCAGCATTGGAGTGTCTCGATCACCCGCACCGAGGCCGAGGTCCTTCGTGCGTTTCAGAGCAACTGAACTTACAGTACAAAGTACTCTGGCGTTTATCGATAACGCGGGCAGGCGAGGAGGAGTGGAAAGTCGACTGAGGCTACTCATCCAAGAACAAGAGCGCCTGGATGAGCCCGGGTGTACGGAGCGTTATATGTCAGGATGTTCACACATGACGCACCGGAGTCAGATGAGAATCAAACTTGTGCTGGAGAGAGTTCACTCCCAAGAGAGCCATACTCGGGTTATAGACAGCTGTTCGGATGTCCCCATCATGGTGCATCTCGACAGTAGTGTTCCCTTCCCGGATGGATAATATTGCGACTGTAAGTGAGAGTTGAATAATTATCGTCCGAGAAGTTAAGGCGCCGCCGTTGCCGCAAGTGAAACAAGAAGGGCTATATTCGACGGCCATGAAGAACAGCGACAGCGTTATCGTTTCACCGTCCATAACATGGCTTGCAAGACTTGGAGGACTCGCTCATTATATGACCGCAAAGTGATAGCGACATGAAAAGACGAGATTACGTCAGCGATGCTATCGAGCAATTCAGGCCGTCACGACGACGCCGGCACACTCGTCGTTATCGTCACGGGCGGCCCCTACTTACTGAAACCGTTAGGTTCTGGCCAAGCCTCCGAGTGCGAGCGATTGGGGAAGATTTGCATACTACGCTTCCAAGGTTCGCATGATAATCGTTGACGAACGGTCCGATGGAATCTATGATGCTATTGACATGGATATCCTTACGCCACGCGTCCGACTCTTACTTTGCTGCCGCGGCCAAACCTGGCAGCATCGAGTCGAGTGGAACTTCGCAAACACGTACTTGCCTCTAATTCTTTGCCTCTATTTCTCTCGCCGAATATACGGAGATATCTCTCTTGCTCGAGAGTAGAGGAACAACCGAAGACCTGCTATCACTCACCTGCATGGTTCAGCTCTGTCCGCTATATGCCAGTGGGCGTCGGTCCATGTCCGAAGATGTCGCTGTCATGAACACCTTGACCACTCTACAGCACATCCGGAGCTTCGAGGCTAACATAGAGCCTATCTCGGCTCGACTCTTCTTACACATAGTTTCTTGGCCGCAACTCCAGTGTCTAAAGCTCTATTGCCGCTGGCAGGGAGATGAAATCTGGAGGCCTTTGATTGACGGGGCAGCCTCTGATGCCCCCGAAGGAGCCTTCTTTCATAATCTGCTTATTCTGCACCTCCAAACCATCAACACGCTTCCTTCAGTCATTAGCGAATCGTCATATTGCACAATTTGAAGCATCTTAAAGTTTTAACGACGGAAAATCGGGAACCCTTCAATGTTCTGGGCTGGAGAAACAACGGCGCGAGCCACTGCAGCCCTCCCTTACTGGAGGAGCTCAGGATAGGCCTTGTGCCGGACAGAGAAAGATTGACTACAGGGCAAGGCTTGGAGCTCGACGGGGGCGCACTCATGGCCTTTCGTTATTTCCATAATCTTCGAACGTTTCGAATAGAAGACAAATGCTGTATAATGCTTGATAACACGACCCTAAAATGGCTGGTGTCGAACTGGCCCGTCTTCGCCCCCTGTCTGTTGGCATTGATAACTTTTGGTTCGACCAAATGTGGGTCTGACGTCGGTCATCCGGTCCGCAGTTGGAGGAACTCGGTCTTGTATTTGAGGCAACAGACGTCCCGATCACTGCAGGAGAGCGACCGGCGCGAGGGATCTGCAATGAGAACATACTCCAACTGTATGTCGGCGACTCCCCTGAGGCCAACACCGCAGATATTGCGGACTTCCTCTCGGATCTCCTTCCGAACATGAAGGAGATCGTGGCTTTTGGGGACATGAGAGAAATGGGCAGGAGTAGAAAGGATGTCGGCATGATTTTCTCAGATACTTCCATACTGTGCGCCATCGACGCTCGGGAGCGTGCATCGATGCATCAAACATATGCGCTAGCTTCGAGCCGCCGATGCGCCCCGGTTGACCCCTTGATCCATGATAAGATACTATGCTCTCAAAAATATCAGGCTTCCTACACAATAGCAACACCTGGAGCCATAGATACACAACGACGAGTTGAATACAGCATGAATACCTACCACTCACTGGCAGGCCAGGGAATCGAGAAGTCTTATTCAAGAGTGATCGCAAACTGTCCCTGTGCCTCCCCAATCCACAGTGACGCTAGTCCAAGATAGCGGGAAGACGATCCTTGATTCTACCTCCCGCCAAAGCGTGCACGCCTGCGGCCTCAGCTACCGCGCCCTGAGTACTAGTGGCCGCACCCTCCATGATTGCACTCTGCGTAGCTGCATACCCGGCCTCGCGATTACGGGCCCGTTTCGCAGAGTTTTCCTTCCCGTTATTGCCTTCTCGCTTTCGCTTGCTCCGAGTCTTGCTTCCGGAAGCCCGGTGAGACCCAGTTCCGGTCCTGAGGTTGGCTGCGGTATCTTTTGCGACACGCTTCTTCGAGATGGGAATGCGACGGAACGCTGTAGCGCTGTCATCAGGATTGGGCCAGCTATCAGAGTCCAGAGCATCGCGGACTGCGGCCTTGATCTTCTCGTGTGTCTCCAACTGATGGAACAAGTTGGGAAATGCCTGCATAACTGCATGCATGCCCTTATCACGGTAGTGGCTGGCCACAAGGTCCCCGACCTTATGGATGCACGCAGTTATTGGTATGTTGACCGATGCTTCTCCAACATCGCTTTCTTGAATGACTATGTCAGGGCCACGCAGAACTCGCATATCAGTGACATACTCCTGCACGAAGCGAACTCGCGCATGAGGGTTAGCATAGACGAAGATCTCTTTGACGGAGATTTGAGGTAACGTGTTGGGTCGATAGTGAGTGAAGGTATATACCAACGACCAGAAGAAGGACTCAAGGTCGTTCCAGGTCGCATGCGCGGGTATGGTCCTATCACTTGCAAGTCCACGGACCCGAGCAGTGGATAGAAATTGAGTAGTCCCCTAATCGTGATCGTAGGTCAGACCCAGGAGGCATTACTGACACTGCGCGCTTACTGTGATTTCGCGAAGCTCTCCATCACTTCCAGGTTCGCCCACTACAGTGACATACTCCATGTCAATGAGAAAGCCTCTGCATTTTTCCATGTCAGGATATGCACTGATCATGATATTATTCACGCTGATGTCTCGATGCAGTATCTTCTTTTCTCCCATGCGTTCATGGCCTAACATTACGGTAAGTGATGGAACATCCCAAATGGTGTTCAATGAGCGCACGTACCTAGGAGAGAATCGTAGTATGCCTCCAGCACCTGACGGGTGGAAGAAAAGCGACTCAGAGGGATTCCAACGGAGTCAAGGATACAGCGATGGTGGACGCGGGGAGGACACTTGCGAGGTCCGTAGTGCTTATTAAGAAGGTGAGCAATCGTCCGATGCATTCCGCTATCCGAGTCGGGAGGGTCAATCAGATCCACATCGCTGCGCAGCCTTGCTACACCCGGAACAGGCCCCTCAGCATGGATGATCTTGTATATTTCACCCTCGAGCCTGCGAGACGGGTCGCGCCAGGAGTCTTTGATGATAACGAAATGATCCTCGTTACTGCGTTCCGGATTTTCCACAGTGCCTGGGACAGGGAAAGCGAGCCAGGTACACGTCCCTCGGCCGAGCATCGCCGTCGAGGTGAAGAGCGGCGGACCCACGGTGATGTACTGCTCCACTTTATCGTCAGACTTTGACGGTACCATGATCGTACTGCTCTGCGCCACCAGGGTGTTGTCGTCCAGCATCTCGGCCTCCTCCGAAATTAATCGTTTCGCCCTCGCCTTCTTGATCTTTTCCCGAAGGAGCTCGACGTGGCCGTCTGGGCGCGATTCGAAATTGATCGTAGGGTCCACGCCGCTACCGCAGTACCCTTGGGCACCGAATCCCGCCAGAAACTGCCAAAACGGTTCGAGGTCCTGCTTG